TGTGATCTTTGATTTGAGACATATTACAATTTCTCTAACTCGATAGTCATCGTCGATCTGCTACAAAATGTCAACCTTTTTCCATTCTCGACGATGACGACATCATGTGGACTAGAGATAGATCGCGAAGCTTTATCTCGAGGGCCCGTTCACTTCGCTGATTCGAGTTTGTAATTCGAGTTGAGATGTGATTTTAGTGAGAGCTTTTTACTTTAGTAAAAAAATTAGATGTGACTGTTTCTGAGAACTTTTTACTATAACAAAACTCAAATTCTAAACTCGAATCGGTGAAGTGAACGGGGCCTAAAGCTATCACCGGAGTGTTAGATCTCAGATCTATTTTGATATTTGGTTTTTAGAATTTTTTTATGTTTAGTTTCTGAGAGATAGAAAGGGAGAAAGAGAAAGAGTAAGAGAAAGTGATTTTTTTTTGAAAAAAAAAAGAGTAATATAATTTTGTTGAGAAAAAGATATTTTGTAATATATGAAAAATAACCTATATAAAACGAAGGATAATTTATATAATATGAAAAGATAATTTATATAATATGAAAAAATAACCTAAGATATGAAAAATAATATGTAAAATATTAATGAAATAAGATAAATTTAAAAATAATAACGGAAATAAAATAATTTTAGCTTTTATATGACTTTTCAGAAAATTTTCAAAAAAGAAAATAGCAGAAGCCCATTCCAATTTCTATCCAATCAGAAGCCTGATGCGACAGAACTTGGTATCAACACTCTGACCAACCACGAAATTATATATAATATTATTTGTTTATTTATTGATCAAAATTTCCCCGTTCTCAACAAAAAAAAAAAAAAGACGTTAATAATTTTTGAGTTATTTACAAAAATAATACTGATTATATCAATTATCTTATGACTAGCATTATTTTTTATACTTTTATTTTTAGTATTGTCACATTAGTAATTGAGGAATTCATAAAATTAAATTGTTAAAATTACACTTAGTAAAATTCAATATCAGATTTCAACTTCTCTTTCTAATTTCTCTCTCTTCATTCGAATTCATTCCTTTTTCTCTCATTCTCTTTCTCTTTTTTCATTTGAACTATCATATTTTCTCTTTTTCTTTCTCCTTTCTCTTCTCACTTAAACAAGTTGCATATATTTGCTTAATTTTTCTCTCTTTATTTGAACTCATAAATTTTTCTCTCATTCTCTTTCTTTCTCTTCATTTGAGCGCACACATTTTTTTTCTCTCCCTCTCTTTCTTTCTCTGCTCTCTCTCTCTACCACTCTGCTCATATGAATAAGTTGCAGACATTTTCTAGAGGCGTTTAATCTTGATTTGCATCTAATGTGCGACCTTGCCTTGTTTAGAAGTGTTAATAAATAGCACTTTGACTTTTTCTTCACATATATTGTAAGAAATCTTAAAAAAAAAAAAAAAAAAAAAACTTCTAGTTATGATTTTGATGGAACCACTTGGTTAAATTTATTTCCAATTTGAATAATAAGTGGAATATAAGTTAGATTTGCTCTGTGAGCATCATTATGTTCGCAAAACAATAATTTTTGTTTATCAGGTAGTCATTACGATAATAACTAATGGTAATTATCGTTGTGACTCATATAATAATTATGATAATTACTAGTAGTCATAATGGTGATTACCAGCATCATATGCTAAATTTCTTTTTTCATGAGTGGGATTTTAATGCTCAATTCACTTTCAAATTTGTTCTCGTAGATACACAATTCAAACATTCTTTTTTTTAAGGTTTCTTATTTTAGATTTCTGAGTTATGTATGGTTTTAGGATGTAGCAAGGCCAAGAGCATACTTGTTGGATATTTGATAGAATTTGAGATCCGTAATACAGAGGTGGCACATAGAGAGGCGAAAAGTGGCTCTCTACTTATTAGTTTTACCTTTGATTTTTTCAGCCTCAATCGGCGGATCAGTTTGAATACTCTGTTACTAACTTATCCACTGAAATGTAGATTGTCCATATTTTTCAGGATTTCTTTTAATGTTGGTTACTCATTTGTCTTTGCACTTTGATATTTTTAACTTTTGGTAGGAGTATGTTTGATATTATGATGTTTTGTTTGTTTGTTTGTTTTTTTTTTATTCTGTTTTAAAAGAACTATGAAGCACAAATATGCTGCTATAGTGACTAAAAAAAGCTGCTTAGTGAATAACACAGATTTTATTCATAAAATTAATTATGGTCATTATATAAATTACTGAGTGGTTATTTCAGAAATTATCATAATATACCAATTTAACTATTTTGTCCTGCTAGTAATAGGATTTCTTTACTATTTATACATCAAATGAAAAAAAAACCACAATAGAATTTAAAAAAAAAAACTGCTTAATGAATAACTTAGGTAATTTTTATTGAAAATTTTGATTATAATCATTACAAAAATTACCGAGTTTAGAAATTACTATAGTGTATCAAACTATTGTATCCTGCATTTACAGAGTTTTCTAGTTAATAAAGAGAACTTCAACCTTTTCTCAAAGAAATTTGTACAGGAATGTTGTATGGCGCAATGTTACAAGAATGGTCATGATGTTTATACATTTGAATTCATGGTCAACTTTCAATTTACTTGACAAATAAAAAACTTGCATGTGTCACCATAACCATGGCAAAAGCACACTATTTTCTTGGGGTTAGACGTCTCCGGTAGCCAACTCTTAGAGAAAATCTCTAGTTCCCTAGAGTTCACCTCATACGATTGCACTACAGTATACATGCCGTTATTTTTTTTACATGATAAGTAAACTAAAGCAACTTCAAAAATTTAAACAAGTTGAAGAAATACTTGATACAATAGACTGAAAAAAATAGATATTTAGAAAGAAAAAAAAAACATAGAAAATAGACGTGTACAAAAACAACTTATGTTTATATATATAATATATGTATATATATATAGTTATGCAAATTACATCTCAAAAAGAAAACAATGAAGTCTTCCTCCAAAATTTCTCAATTTTGATAATCAAAATTTCTAACTAATAAGTCAATACCCACCTCTCGCCTTTCTACGTGTCACTTCTACATTATGGATCTCAAATTCTATCAAGAATCCAACATGTATTATCCTGGCATTTCGACATCCCACAAAACATACATAACTCACATATCTAAAATAAAGAACCTTGAAAAAAAGAACATTTAAATTGTGTATCTAAGAGAACTAATTTGAAAGTGAATTTAACATTAAAATTCCACTCGTGAAAAAACAAGTTCAGCATATGATGTTGGTAATCACCATTATGAATACTAATAATTATGATAATTACTAAATGAATCCCAATGATAATTACAGCTGGTCATTATTATAATGACTATCTGGTAAACGAAAATTATTGTTTTGCGAACATAAGGATGCTCACAGAACAAATCTAACTTATATTCCACTTAATATTCAAATAGGAAATAAATTTGACCAATTGGTTCTCTCAAAATACGTTTTTGTTTAAGATTTCTTCCCATATATGTGGAAAAAAGTCAAAGTGCTCTTTATTAACACTTCTAAACGAGATTGTGTCACGCATTAGATGCAAATCGAGATTAAACGCCTCTAAAAAATATCTGCAACTTATTCATATGACGAGAGTTGTAGAGAGAGAGAGCGGAGAAAGAAAGAGAGGGAGAGGAAAAAAATGTGTGAGCTTTGAAGAAAAAGAAAGAGAATGAGAAAAAAAAGCTGTGAGTTTAAATAAAAAGAGAGAAATTGAGGAAATATATGTAACTTGTTTAAGTGAGAGAAAGATGAGAAAAAAGAGAAAAAATATGATAGTTTAAATGAAAAGAGAGAAAGAGAGGAAGATAAAAAAAAAAAAGTTCGAATGAAGAGAGAAAAATTAAAGAAGAAAGTTGAAATTTAATATTAAATTTTGTTAAAAATAATTTTAATAATTTAACTTCATGAGTTTTTTAACTGCTGATATGACAGTGTTAGAAATAAAATATAAAAAGTGGGTTAGTAGATAATTATTGTAATCGGTGTATTTTTTGTAAATAATCCATAATTTTATCCGAACAAACACCTATGTAAGTAGCAGAAAGGGTAAAAGTATGAATATTAAGACCTCGTTCTTTTCGCTGATTTGAGTTTAGAATTCGCGTTTTGCTATAGTAAAAAGCTCTCAGAAACAGTCACATCTAACTTTTTTACTACAATAAAAAGCTCACACAACATCACATCTCAACTCGAATTAGCGAACCGAACGGGCCCTAAGATAAGCGCGCGCTCAAACAACAACACTTAAGAGCCCGTTTGGTTCATGGAGCCCGTTTGGTTCATGGATTAGAACTATGAGATTAAAATCATTCGATTTACATGTGTTTTTTTGAGAGAAAATACTGTAGCGAACTATGAACTATGATTCGAATCAGTATAAGCGCGCGCTCAAACAACAACACTTAAGAGCCCGTTTGGTTCATGGATTAGAACTATGAGATTAAAATCATTCGATTTACATGTGTTTTTTGTGAGAGAAAATACTGTAACGAACTATGAACTATAATTCGAATCAGGGAACGAATCTTCCAACCAAACGGGCTCTTATCCTAACTGTTCCACGTTATCATTGCTCCTTGAAAAGCGTGCCCATTCCTTCTTTTTTATAATTTTCTTTTTCCTTTCTCAGTAGTTGATTGATTGTTGAATAATTGTTTCAAATCAAAACCGAGAAACAAAAAACGAAACCACCATTTTCCTACCCAATTTTCTCGAGAAAATCCTCAACCTCGAACTATCGTCTCCTTGCCCGGCCATGGCCTCACCAGCGCAGCGCCGTCTGCACGCGATTCACTCTCACCTGCTTCCCGTAACCGCCCACGATTCGCGCTTGCCTATTCAATCCAACGTTACCGCCGGAGAGTTCGCTCTCCGTACTTTTCTCTCTCCTCTCTCTCTCTACACTGTGTATTAGTGTATGTATAGGTTTTACTTTACCATAAGGAAGAACTGAAATTCACGACATGAGAAGAAGTGGATAGGAAAATTCCTCTGTTTTCTGCTCCAGATCTCAGGCGTTTTGTTTTTCCCGAAGATTTGTTTTTTTAGAGTTTTTCGAAACGAGATGCTTAAAAGTCTATGCTTGTTTGCGTTATTGCTTGTCTTGAGAGATAGAAGATATGGAACTATGTTCTGCTTGGTTTCTTTAAAAGGAAAGTTGTGCTGATTAATTAGCTATCACTTTGCTGATTGTTTATAATTTTAATCCCTCGTTATTCGATTTTTTTGCTCTGAAATGGCTGGATTAATTCTTGAGCAGCACAAGGGTATAGTGTAGTTCTTCCAGAGAAATTGCAAACAGGAAAGTGGGATGTGTACAGGTATGTTAATTTCTTTCTTCTTCTTTTTTTGTTTTGTTTTTGTTTTTGCTATGTGATGTTGTATTTAATGGATATGAATTTTGGTGATTTTGTGTAACTACAGATCTGCACGCTCTCCATTCAAGCTTGTTTCTAGATATGATGATCATCCTGAAATTGGGACGCTGCATGATAACTTTGTGTAAGGACTTTCATTGAGCCGATTTAGTTTTTTTTTTTTTTTTTTTTTTTTTTTTTTTTTTTTTTTATTTTTTTTTTTTTTTTTTTTTTTTTTTTTTTTTTTTTTTTTTTCAATATTGCTATTGAACTTGTAGAATCAGTATTCTTGGAGGTTGCATTACTATTGTTTTTATTAGGGGAATGACAAAAAGTTGGTTTAAAATCTTTGTGAGCCCACAGACATGCAGTTGAAACTTTCCGAGACTACAAGTACTTGGGTACGCGAATTCAGGTGGACGGAAGTGTTGGAGAGTGAGTTTGTTTTGGTATATAAAGTTGATTCTTACACTAGAATGATTTTCTCCATATAATAAAAATGTTGTATTCTTTGAAACCGAAGGTACATATGGATGACATATGGAGAAGCTGGAAGTGCTCGGGAAGCAATCGGTTCTGGCCTACGGATTAATGGGCTGCAGAAAGTAAGTCACTTCAAGAGTTCTCAATGTTACTTCTTTTGAAACAATTTTCATCAACTCTTAAGTTTAACGACTATATATGTGTGTGTGTGTATTTTCCGTGGCCTTAAATTATAATTTTGTATCCTCTGCTATAATTTTTAGGCCTATTATTCAAAATATCTTGAAATATTTCTAGCAAGATACCTCAAGTGGAAGTTTTTATATGATGTAATATTGTAAGGATGAAAATTTGATTGCAATAATTTTAGTAATTGCAGGGAGCTTGCATTGGACTTTATTTTATAAATAGACCGGAATGGCTGATTGTGGACCATGCTTGTGCAGCGTATTCATATATCTCTGTTCCTTTGTATGACACTCTTGGTGTGTGCTTGAGTATTAGTTATTATCAAATTATTTTTCCTAGTTAGTTGAACTTGCTTCAATCTATTTTCTTTTTTTTTTAATTTTAATTTTTAATTTGCAGGTCCAGATGTGGTGAAGTATGTCGTTAATCATGCGGATGTACAGGCTATTTTTTGCGTCCCTCAAACTCTGAACTCTGTGAGTTCAACATTTTCTTCCCTTGTAGTATCTGACATAACATCAGTGATCTTTACAATAATATGTATGTTGAGTGCTGCAAACAATTGCAGCAAGGATTTCTCGTCTATATTCTAAGCCGAAATGAGCATCAAGTTAGGAAGAGTTTTACTGTGTAGATCTTTTCCTTGAATCAGCTCCTTTTTGAAGCGTACATTCATTTATACAGTTTTTTCTGACAACTCTTTTTTCTAATGAAAAATTTGCACTCAATTGTTTTCCTCCTACACATGTTTGTTCTCTAAACTCTTTGTTTTAAACTCTTAAAGAGGTGACATGTAAGGCATCCATTGCATCTTGACTCATTTCATTCATTTTTTTTTTATTTTTCTATTGGTAGACATCAAAACAAGCTTGTTAATTAAGTTTATTCTTCATATTCTCATCTAAGGGTTTGCATTGGAATGTTAGCTGGTTCTATTAAAGAAAATTGAAGGTTTTGCTGTTTGTTTGATATATGATTTAGAAAATAAAAACGGTATTTCTCCTATGCATATTATTTGCTTCAAATGTCAGCTCAATGTATGATAATATACATACATACATACATACATACATTTGTTCGTACGTACATACATACTTATATTTTATTTATTTCAAATCTTCTGACTTGGATTTGAGAGTTGCAATACATCTTATGTCCCTCTGTCCAAATTTGCAGTTGTTGAGCTTCTTATCCGACATCCCATCTGTACATTTAATAGTGGTGCGTAATCCTTAGTCCTAATCTCTTAGCAAAAAAAAAATCCGTAATCGTAATCAATGAATGCTTGTGAAAGCTGAAAATTTCTGACGCTTGCCAGTTTTTCAATAATTCGTCTCTTGTATCATCCATAATGTAGGTTGTGGGAGGGGTTGATGAACATTTACCTTCACTTCCATCTACAACTGGAGTGAAGCTTATATCCTATTTAAAACTAATCGGCCAGGTAAAGTTTAAACGTGGCTGAAGTGTACAATTTTAATTGCAGGCTTTTTGGCTTTGATTTTTTTTTTTTTCGCCTTACTTCAAGCTACTATTTCTTCCATATATTTGGTTTAGTTTCTCTGATGTTTGCGTTCTCCACTCATATTCTTGAAATGCTTTCTAAGGTCAATCCTGCTCGCTTCAGTCATCCCTCTTCATTTCAATTCTCATTTGCTGACTTTCGTTCTCAATAATTTGTCTAATCTCTTTTCCGGAAAAAAAAATAAATAAATAAATAATACTTTGTCTGATCTGTGCACCTTTACCAATTATCTATTATCTTCTAGAATGCAAAAGATTCAATATCCATCTTTTAGTGTTTTCGTCTTTTATAGCCCAGCTTTTCCGATTTATCTGTTTAAGCATTTTTGTCTCATAAACTCACAGATAGTTTTCTTTTAGGGCCGCAGGAATCTGCAACCCTTTTACCCTGCTAAGCCTGAAGATATTGCAACCATATGCTACACAAGTGGTACTACGGGAACACCGAAGGTAATCAGTCATAACTTTCTTGCACTTCAGCTCTTTTCTTCCGCCACCAAAGTTAATTTGTGAAATCTAAGTCACTTTGTTCTATGCCTTGCTACATACTAAACGATGCACTTCAAATCTTCTTTTCTTCTCTAAATGCCAAGGGAGTTATATTGACACATGGGAACTTTATTGCAAGTGCTGCTGGATTTAGTCGTGCAATCAAATTCTATCCCTCTGATGTGTGAGTGACTGAGTTATATATGTTTCGTTAGCTAAGACATTGAAGATAAATTTCATTAATTTATGAAGGCCTTGGGATAGTTTTTTGAATTGCATTTTATTTTTCACAGTTACATATCCTATCTTCCTTTGGCACACATCTTTGAACGGACTAATCAAATTATCTTGGCATACTTTGGTGTCGCTATTGGTTTCTACCAGGGGGTAAGTGATCTCTTTCTGAATATCTTGTTTAAAATATCTTTCTATACTGTCTAAAGCATCTGCTTAATTTTCTTCTTTGCTTCCTTACTGATGGTATGAAAAACTTGGAACTTCTTGTCTGCTGGCTGCTATAATTATTCTCCCATATACTGCTATGAATTATTTTCTTGATCATGTTTAATGGTCAGAAATTATCCAAGCAGATTTTTTCATTTGTCTCTGTAAGTTATTATCTAATTATTGCACTAGGTGGTTCTGTTAGTTTGATTTTCTGTTATTATCTAGGTACTTATGGTTCTTGTTAGTCTCAGTGGAGGAAAATAATCAGTTTGATTTTGATAGAAACTAATCTCCTCTTCGGATCTATAAATGTTCATTTATAGCTAAATGAGAGTTTTTTTTTTGAGGTATAACGGTCTTGGATTTTAGAAAGATTGAGGAATATAAACATTATCTTTTTGTAAACGAGGCTCTTATATATCTTTAGGTCTTTGCAGGACAATTTGAAACTGATGGATGACATGGCTGCTCTAAGACCTACAATATTTTGTAGTGTTCCTCGGTTGTATAATCGAATATACGCTGGGTAATCATTATTGTGTGACATTTAAAATGTTTCCATATTTCTTTTTTGTCTATTTGTCTTGTCTTATTAAATGATTATCACAGAATTTCAAATGCCGTGAAGACTTCTGGGGCTCTGAGGGAGAAACTATTCAGAGCTGCTTACAACTCCAAGAAGCGGGACATAATGAGTGGTAAACATGCTAATACGTAGACAACCTCAAATTTTGCCTCAAATTTCTATTTAGCAGCTTATAATCCATTGTCTTTAAATTTAAGAATTACAGTGGAAACAGAAGGAAAAATATTTCGCCAATTTTATTCTGTTCTCCAGGCTATTCAACATAAGCACATTTATCTGATCAATCATTTGGCATCTTGTTGATTGTTCCTCAATTTCCAGGAAGAAATCCATCTCCAATATGGGACAGATTAGTATTTAACAAAATAAGGGAAAAGCTCGGTGGACGAGTTCGTTTTATGGGATCAGGTGCTTCACCTTTGTCCCCTGATGTCATGGACTTTTTGAGAGTGTAAGTTTGACTAGGTTGCATACTCTTGCTCGGCAATCGTCTGTTCGATTCTTTATCCTTATTTATTTATTTAAGTAGGGGAAGCGGTTGTAATGGTTAGAAATTTATGCACCATTGCATGTGTTACCACAATTGCAGGTGCTTTGGCTGTGATGTCATTGAAGGATATGGCATGACTGAGACTTCTTGCGTTATAAGCATAATGGACGAGGGTGATACCTTATCTGGTCATGTTGGGTCACCTAGTTCTGCTTGTGGTGAGTTGTTAACTCTTCGCCCCGTAAACATATGAAAAGACAACACTTGCAGAACGCTGCATGTGCACACTGATATTGCATGGCAGAATCATCATACTCGAGATTCTTCTTTCTATCTTTCTTTTTAACCTGCATTTTTAATTTGTTTTTCAGAAATAAAACTCGTGGATGTTCCCGAAATGAATTACACCTCTACGGATCAACCTTATCCTCGTGGCGAAATTTGTGTTAGGGGTCCCATTGTTTTCCAAGGCTATTACAAAGACGAAGTCCAAACGTACTCAGCTTGTTCGAGTGATTATTTTACGAGCTAAAATAGTCTAGTAATGTTGACCTGACTCATAGTTAATTGAACAGGAAAGAAGTAATTGATAACGATGGTTGGCTGCATACTGGTGACATTGGATTGTGGCTACCCGGGGGCCGTCTTAAGATTATTGATAGGTGAGTTTCTACAAATATTTTGCAATTTTAGTTGGTAAATGTTGATAGTTGTATTGGATGCAGATGTGTTTTAAATGGTCGTTATTTTTTAACTTTTGACAGGAAAAAGAATATTTTTAAGTTGGCACAGGGAGAGTATATAGCACCCGAGAAAGTTGAGAATGTCTATGCCAAGTGCAAATTCGTTTCTCAGTGTTTTATATACGGTAAGGAAAATCGGACTATCAAATAAAAACTTTCCACTAAACTGTTCTTCCTGACGTCTTGATCTCTTTTCCACCCTCCTCAGGTGACAGCTTGAACTCCTGCCTGGTAGCAGTAGTTGCAGTGGACCCAGAGGTGTTGAAAGAGTGGGCTGCATCAGAAGGCATAAAGGTTGTTCCTTGTGAGTCCCAAGTATAGGATATTTATTCTAATATTTGTTTCTTTTGATTTCCAATTAGGAACGTGTCATCTCTTCTTTACCATGCTAAATAAGCAGTGAACTTATTTACAGCCACACTCAGCGCCAAGTGTTTTTTTTTTTTTTTTTTTTTTTTTTTGGGGGGGGGGGGGGGGGGGTGTTTTTTTTTTTTTTTTTTTTTTTTTTTGGGGGGGGGGGGGTGTTGGAATAGGGTGTTCTGAAGTACGCAAGACCTGCTAATGATTGTGAATGCCTGCAAAATCAGGCAAGGTTATTACTGTTTTGTTATAAAAATCTTATTGCATGTATATGCAGTATGAAGATCTAGGACAACTATGCAACGATCCAAGAGCGAGGTCCGCTGTTCTGGCAGAAATGGATGCCGTTGGTAGAGAGGCTCAGGTAATCTGTCTTATGAGTTAATCAGTGAAAATACTTCAGCGCAAGCAATGGGATGTTCAATTTGTTTGGTGTTTCTCTTTTGATCACAGTTGAGAGGCTTTGAATTTGCAAAGGCTGTAACTTTGGTTCCCGAACCATTTACCGTGGAGGATGGCCTTCTCACTCCCACTTTCAAAGTAAGCTCATTTTTCTTTCTTCCCTTGATTAGATTTGGCCAAATAACTCTGATGCAACGTTTGGAAGTAAAGAAGAAATATGTAGGAAATTATGTATGTACTGACTTGAATTCCTTTACAGATCAAGAGGCCTCAAGCAAAAGCCTACTTTGCCAAAGCAATTTCGGACATGTATTCTTCGATGTCTTGATGAGAACCAACACTGCAAAATGCAATTTCTTAGAGGCAAAATTGAAGAAAAATAATGAAAATTTTCACCCCACAAAGTGCAGGGTTTTCTATAAGCAAAAATATGCTCTTTGGAGAGCCGTCTTATTGAAGCAGGAGACTTTGTTTCTTGCGTTGTTGTATGTAACATTAGTTGACATAGATCATAATTTTTTTGTTATATATGAAAAAGGTTCTCCATTATATTAAATGTTTGACACATTGAAGTTCAACCACGCATGAGTTCAAATGCAATTATGTAAAGTTTTGGTGTAGCTGCAAAAGTAAATAAAAAGATTTGAGTACATTAAAAAAAACAAAAAAAAAACATCTATCAAAGGTATCAATACTCCTCCATCTAGTAATCCACTGCTACTCATGAGTTGTAATTGGGCGGATAAATAGAATTGGCTTTGAAAATGCATTTGAAATGATTTGTTAAGTAATAGTTATTATTTATTTATTTAACTACTAACGGAAAGATTTTTTTGTCGCGAGTCGTAAGCAAAACGACCCACGTGTACTGCCACGTAATTTCTTTTATTTTGTAATTAAGGGCACGTTTAGTTCGCTGATTTGAATTTTTAATTCGAGTTGAGATGTAATTTTTATGTGAAAATTTTTTACTGCAGTAAAAAAGTTAAATGTGATTATTTCTAATAGTTTTTTATTGTAGTAAAACTCAAATTCTAAATTTAAAGCCCTGTTCACTTCGCGGATTTGAGTTTTTAATTCGAGTTGAGATGTGACATTTTCTGAGAGCTTTTCACTGTAGTAGAAAAAATTAGATGTGACATTTTCTGAAAACTTTTTACTGTAAAAACTTAAAACTGAAAACTCAAATTGGTGAAATGAACGAGTCCTAAATCGATGAAATAAACGGAGCTTAAAGATACAAGAAGGTGAAACGTCGTTTGCTTTCTTTTGTTCTCTTCGTACTGCTCTGTTTTTCTTTATTTTCTTCATCATGCTAATATGCTTTCTTTTATTTTTCTCATTGTTTGACGTATGATGATTTCGGATGACAGCTAGTTAGAAACGACGTTTGTTGCTTGCTATGTTCTTAAGCTTGTGTATGTTCTTTTGTATAAGATGTTGCATATTTTAAGATTTTATCTCTCAACAAACATGAAATCAGAGACAAATTTTCAATTATAATCAAAGAATCGTTTGAAAGAAAATAATATTTTTGCTCAGGTTAAAAGGAAGTGATATACGACACATGAACCAATATACCACACAATATCAAAAGCAAATTGTTTAATTGTGGCATTTTATCAAACAAATGGGTCTCATGAAAAAAATCACGTTTCATCAGACCACCCATCCGTCATCGCCGATGCAGAAAAAGGGGGAGAGCTTTTAATGAAAGTCAGACCACCGATCCGTCCTCATCGATGCAGAAAAAAGTGAAAGCACCAGTTACTTCTCGCGATTCTGCCGGAGTTTGGGACCGCGACGATCTGAAAGAATAAAGTTCCTAAACAACCCTTCAAAGGAATCGTGTGGTGAGGTGCATCTAGCTTCATCGATGTCCAAGAACTCAACTTAAGAATTCAGAAAATCTAAAACCTGTTCCTTTTTTTTTTTTTTTTTTTCATTTGAAAATTGATGCTTAAATTATACCCGTAAAGTTGTAAAACTCATCCACTATAATACGGACAAGAATTTTTATTTTTAGCATTTTTGAAGAGCATGGAGGATTTCAAATAATAATAAAAAAAGGGCCATGGAGATTGGAGAAAGAGAAATGGTGGAAATCTGAAGAAAGAGAAACCAAAATATTGGTAGGGTCCACCAAGCCACATGTCACTATCTATTTCTCCAACCCGTGTCGTGAGAAAAACAAGTCTCACTCCGTTTAGTTGTTAGGAGATTGGAGAAAGAGAAATGGTGGAAATCTGAAGAAAGAGAAACCAAAGTATTGGTAGGGTCCACCGAGCCACATGTCACTATCTATTTCTCCAACCCGTATCGTGAGAAAAACAAGTCTTAGTCCTTAGTTGTTGATTCAAATTGAGACGTGATTTTACGTGAAAATTTTTTACTGTAATAAAAAAATTAAATATGATTATTTTTAAAAATTTTTACTATAATAAAACTTAAATTAATAAAATAAAAGAGATCTACATATAACATTGCTCAACTCCTAATCATTTATTTATTTAATAGTTATTAATTATTTGACTATTATTGATTATTGGTTATTAAAATATTAAATATAGCAATGGTAAGTATTGATTATTTGTTTGTTTTTTTTTGTTTTTTTTTTGGGGTGCACAAAAGAATAAGACCATTCCCAAACTACATAAGCCAATTTCGAAAATACATGCCATGTAAATGCTATTTAAGAATCGTTTCTGGAAGAGCTACAACAAGAAACGCATAACGGGCAGTTTCTGCAGCATACTGTACAATACAACTATAGCCATATTCCTTTTCTCCTCGTCACCCTATTTAATTGGAAAACATTTATGTGTATGTACGAAGAATTATACAAGAAGGAATCAAAATTCTAAAAATGAACAGCACAAATAGCAGTCACCGCTTGACGAGTGGCTGTGTGTTGTTCCAAAGCCACTGAAGGGCTGAACCATCCAGCAAAGGCGAGACCTGTGAGACCTTTTAGATTAGCCTCAATTTGTAGAGTGAAAACCATAATGGCTAAGCCGAAAGACTTTTTTAAGCCTGTCGGGCCGTGATGAGTGATGGGGCCACGGCCCTGTCATGCTATTCAGCATTCGGCTAAGCCGTACATAATAATTAACAAGAAAGACCCGAGAAAAAATTTAAATATATATATATATATATAAGAGAATCAAATGATGATAGGACCTGATATCATATGTGCTAACCTTTTCCCAGACTTGGGAATGGTAATCATTGAGCCAAGTTATCTCCTCGGCAGAAAGCAAAGTTAAGTCGATCAATTTAGCCTGTATCAAAATATAAGTATATCCATTTGAGAAGGAACTACAAAAACAAACTTACCCAAGAACTCATAATAATCTACAGTAGATGCTATATAATTATTACACTATTCCCAAGCTCACTAAGGTGACAGCTTTGGGGGAAGAAAAAGAATTACTGTAAAAACTAGGTTTGGCCATTATTATACCTGAATGGGAACAAATGTGAGTTTCTCAAAACCCAGATATTCAATTCCTCCAAAACGAATTGGTGTGTCAGCCTCTTTCACGACAATCAGATTCTACATGACAATATTAAATATGAATCAATAGGCAGCTAGCAGATGGGATTGAAGTCATATATTCAGATCGGTAGTATGCAAAAAAGTAAATGGGAGAGTGCACAGGGAAAAATTGCAAATTCAATTGGGACCAAACAAAGTAGTGTTTGATTTAACTATATCGAACTAGTTCATCCATGAATTTAAACTAACTCAAACATAGACAACGAAAGAGCAAATTTTAAATACATTTATGAGCTGGCGTACATACCTCAATACGAATGCCAAATGCATGGTCTTCGTAGTAGCCTGGCTCATTGCTAACAATCATGCCTTTCTGTAAAGGAGTCATATTGCCATATCGAAAGCTGATGCTTTGAGGGCCCTCATGGACATTCAATGCAGCTCCCACACCATGCCCAGTTCCTTAGACAATGAAGACAAAAAGAAATAGCAGTAAGGACATTAATCATCACATCCTACGTACATCGCAGTGAAAACTTTTCTAGCGGAACGATAAGCTAAGAGAAGTTCTTGAATACCATGTCGGTAATCAAGTCCTATTTTCCAAAGAGATGAACGAGCAAATGCATCCAAGACAAAACCCGGGGTATTTTCAGGGAATACTGCCTGGTCAAGGGCTATATGACCCTGCAATGGGATACAATCAGAAACATAAAGAGGAAAAAATAAGTCATATAATCCATAAATAGTAAATATATAATTCTACAAAAATGGGAAACAGCCATTTCTCTGTGTAGTAGAATAACTGACACTAATCAAGAGATAAGTAGATACCTGCAAAACTCTTGTGAAGCATTCTTTTTCCCATGCTTTAGGTTCACCAAAATGAACAGTCCTTGTTATGTCTGTTGTTCCGTCAACATATTGACCTCCACTATCCAATAGGAAGAGTTTATTTCCATCCACAATGCTACAACTAGCTGGTTCTGGTTTGTAGTGGATGATTGCGCCATTTGGACCAGACCCTGGAAAATTATTCAAGTAGTGACGGGTTAAGGTAAAAAAAGCACCCCTCTCTAGAAGGAAAAAAAAAATCGGCGCTACAATCCGTGTTTTATACTTGTGCACGATCTAACGCATAAATGTCCTGGCCACTCCAATACAAATTGCTATTGAAAATGAATTTTTAATGCATTTTTGGCTTTTGCAACTCCAATTGAAGAAAAAACTGAGCTAACTATGACATCCAAATTGACCATTCAAAATAAACAAAACATAGAGGAACTAATTCAAAGTAATCATGATTACAGATATCAACATACCACTTATAGTGTCAAAGCTTGTACCAATGAAACCACTCTGCCTTGAACGAAATTCAAGAAGCTGGTCAGCCACTTCTACCTCCGTTAATTTTACATCCTTGTGAATTTCCTCTTCCAACCAGGCCCAGAATTGTGCTAGAGCAGCTGCATCCCTGGAAGGAAAATCATTATCTCATATTCCCTGAACTTCTTGGCTATATTTGTCTCCGGAATGGACAATATGAACTTAAAAGTTTTTGCTTATCTTATTTTAGGTGGTAACGCAAGTATAAAGTCTTGTTTACAAGTTCTTTGGGTTTCTCCAGAGCGATAGAACTGGTAATTTCATCTTCGATTACAATGATGGTCAACTATGTGCCCTTAGGTGTTTCCTTGAACATACAGAGCTACAAATTGAAGCTTAATCTTAAGGCACTTCTGAAACTCGCGACTATGCTTCAACGTTATCAATGTGGCATTTAAAACCAAAAAAGTGACTCCACAGAAGCAATGTTATGCCAATGTCATATTCATATCACAACTCAGGCTCAGAGGGTGGAATAATTACCTCAAATGACAATTCTGCATTCCTTCTAACTCAGCAGCAGTTTTTATTGCCTTTGCTAAAGAGACAGGAGATGCTTTATAAATTCCAGCAGGGGCAGTTGACCAACCATTGAGGTCAACATTCTTCTGACTCTTATTTGTTTTCTCAATGTGCTTATACTGTTTTTCACAGGCAGCAGTGTAAGTGTTGACAATAGCAGCATTAACAGAAGATCTATCCAGCCACAGTCGAGCTCCTTGTGCTGCCAAACTGAAAGTTGCAAGATGTGTTTTTAAGAATAATTGCAAGATGAGCTCACCTCACTCTTTATGGTAAGAGCAACACAACGGCTATTAATTATCACTCATCCTTTGGCACATTGTAATCCTACATTTTATTATCTAGCGTTGGGTATTATATAATAAAAGCCTATATCATAATATTATATACAGTAAAATTTATTACGATGTGTAAAATAAGCTTCAATGTATATTTGGATATTGCTAGCAACACAGACACACACGAAAACAGAATATCTCACGTGTACATCCCCAGTCCCAGTACCCTATATGTGACAAAATTAGATGATCAAAGCTGCTATTGAGATACTAATGCAATCTCATATCAGTTTGAATACGGCATATCACCAAGATATGAATAAGTTTACCAGTCAATTAATTAGCGAAAATTATAGTGATCTGAAATATTTAAAATAAAATAAAAAAGGAACGAGAAGCTTTTCATAAGAAAAGTGCGGATACGTATCATTACTCTGGAAAATATATTTTCCCCATCCAAAAACTAATAAATCCCAAGCTGACCTTTTAACTTCAGACAGAATGGTATCATACGGCATCAACTCGACTCCTGCACTCTTCAAGTGCTCCATCACATCTGGGTTGACTTTCGAATTATCCACAAATAACTTTGCTTTATTGATCTCCACAATCAAGTATGCGTACATAACAGGAGAATGTGGGATGTCATTTCCTCTCTATAAATAAAAAAGAACCATTTGGATTTAAACACTAAAATACAATATCAGATATATCATTTAATAATTCTAAAAAATTTTATCAACTCTAAAGGCATACCAAGTTCGACAGCCAGGCAATTTCATCAAGCATGGATATCACAATTGCAGATGATCCAGCATTAACCAGTTCTGACCTCAGTGTTGAAAATTTAGATGCCACATCTAGTCCAGCATATTTTAGGTCATGTACTCTAATTAATTTATTTGGAGGCTTTGGTCTTGCTTCTTTCCATATTTCATCCACTAGGTTTGTATCATATAGGAAAACCAATTCATGATTCTTCTTAGCAATGGCGTCCCTCAGTTCCTCTGCAGCATCGGCAGAAAAGAGAAACTGCTCCCTTCACAATATAAAATAGAAGACGGCATCATGCACAGGCAACTACAACGGATTCTCGAGTCTGTGTAAATCCAATTTAAAGCATAACTACTTTCATGTGACACTAAATTTCTACAATAAAACAATAAATTGTTGTGCACCCATTACTGTTTTTAAGTATTTCTCACAGGATCAATGCCAACTCTCCCGCCAGGAGCCAAAACATCACTAAGCCATTCACTAGAGGTAGGAACGCCAAGATTACCAGCCCGCATGAGAATCCAACTAGAGCTCAGTTGCTTATCAGCCTGATCATGACAGGAAAGGGGAAAAAAAATACTATGAATAACAATCTGCATAAAAGAAGAAAAAGTACGCAAGACCAATACAAAACATAGAGCTTATTGCAATTAACATGGTATTATTGGCCAAAAAACCATGAAATTATCATATAAATAGCATATAATGGAACTCAAAAGTGCAGAATAATCAAAGAGAAAGTGAGAAACTTTTTCTTTTTGTCACAAGAATCTATTGTGTAGACCTGGAGAAAATAGCGTCCGTCAGTCCATAGAGCTGCTTTATCCTTGGTTACAACAGCAGTTCCAGCACTACCAGTGAAGCCGGATATATAGGCCCTTCTCATATAGCATTCAGCAATAAACTCACTCTGGAACCAAAATAAAAAATAAAAAAACAAAAACCAATTATGACTGGCTATAAGGAAGGATCAAAAACGCTCTTTCCCAAAGAATCCTGGACCAAAACTATTTCTGAAAGTCATTTTTGTTTCGAGAAAGACAAAAAAACACGAGATATGTACTTCATTATAGAAGAATTTGCCAAAATAACCAGCTCATAAAGTTAAAATACGATAATGACTTTCCTATTTTACTTTTTTGATATTTCAAGAATATACTTAAATGAAACATTAGTGATAAACCATGGTGTATTGTGATATACCATAATGTATCAGTGAATGACCAGTGTAAATAATTAAAAATAAATAAATAAATGAAGCTCGGTCATTCATTAGTTTAAAAGGTGTAACTAAAATAGAGCATCCTTCTAATTTTCCAAAATAATATTACATTTTCAGCTCTGTTTTCATCTCAACAATTCATAGAAATGAAGAAAAGAACAAAACAGATAGTTCTCCCACTAAAACACCATTTATGTACCTCCGAAAAAAGTTTGCTAAAATCAAATCAAAAGCTCATATTTTTCACAAAACTCTCTCTTCTAATTCAATAAAGACATACCATAATTCTACGACCAACAACCATCACAAGAACACCAAAACTCCAAATTCAATCAGAAAAAAGGAAAAAAAAAAAAAGGTGGGGGGGGGGAAGGAACTAAATTGAACCTGGTGAGCGTCCTGAGAGGGAATAATATAGGCATCGATGCCGACGCCGGGCTTGGAGAAGAGCTGACGTAGGGCGCGGAGCTTCTCATCGGGCTCCGAGACGGCGCGATTCTTCCGGAACTCCGAAGGCGTCTTGGTGGAGACCGAAGAGCAGTTTCGGACGATCAGAGGAGGGGATTTTGTGGGAAAATTGAGGAATTTGGATTTGGGGAAAACGGGAAAGGAGATGGGGAAGAATCGGAGATACCGAGAGCTGTGCGATGATGGAGATGAGAGAGAGAAAGGACGCATGGCTTGCGAGGGTAGTGAGTGCATCGTATCGGAATTCTAGAGAGAGAGAGAGAGGATGAGGTCTGTGTGTGACTGTGCGATTGGGAAGAAGAAGATAAGTGAAGTTCCCTCCTTTCGTATACAAAACGGCACGCTTTGGATTGAATCATTCGTGTCTTTTTTTTTTCTTTTTTTTTTTTTTTTTGTGCGGAAGGAGTTCGTGTCTCTTTTAAACAAGGCGTTCGTGTCTCTTTTCTTAGTTCTTGATTTCAGAAAGATAGTACTTTGTAGAGCTACAAGTTTAAGTTGGACTAAACGGATCGATTGGAGATCTGTTATTGTTGGGTTAGACCTAGTCTGACCCGACTCTAAATTTTTGAGCTTAAGGTCAAGTTAGGTTAATTTTCTCTCTTTTAGGTCTGAGTTGGTCTTGTCCAAACATAAGTTTTGTAAAGATTTTTTTAAAAATATCCTATAAAATTTCAACCCGGCCCGACCAGACCCTAAATTTTTTAGCTTAGGCCGGGCTAGGCCGACCCTCTCTCCTTTAAGGTTAGGTTGGCCTGGTCCAAACATCATATTTCTAAAGATTTTTTTTAAATACTTTATAAAATTTCATACCGGTCTTAAATTTTTTGGGCTTAGGGCTAGGCTATATTGACTTTCTCTCTTTTAGGGTCGGGTCGGGCCAGCTCGAAGTTTTCTTCGGTTGGGCAGCCCAAACTTACACCTATAGTGCTTTGAGAAATAATTCACACTTAGTTTCTGGGGATCTAAAATTAATTTAACTATTGATTGTAGGTATAATCTATTAATAAATCTACACCTAATTTAATTTTGAAGTATAAATTTCAAATCATCCCACCTCAAATTTTTTTTTAAAAAAGATTTAATTAATGAATAGTTTAGTCTGTAAAGCTACAAAGAACAAATGAAAAAGAATATTTTAGTAATATGCAAAGCCGTAACACCCATTTTTCTAAACCGACAAAATTCTTAGAAATAAATGTTAGGAATTAACTTGAATTTTACTAACATCATGTTGAGTTATTTGTTACAGGTGGACGTGACGAGAACTCGAGGTGTCGAAAATAAGTTCGTGCCATTTTATAGAAATTATATATATCTTCATTCTTCTTTTTTTTTTTTTGATGATTTGATAAATAAATATATGTTCATGATATGATGTACTTCATGTTATAATGCATGGAATCAAGTGTCTTAAGAAAATTTTAAGTTTTTCTTGATTTTTCTTTTTAGACAAAAAAACCATTTCCATGACGTTAATTTTCAGCTCTATTTTGGACCTTTAAAATTCGGAAATTATTCCTTTATTTTATACAAAGTTGTAGAGCCTTTTATAAGCTTTTTAACGCCTTCTCATTTACACAAATCGGAGATCAGAGTAAGAAGATGTGGCCAGTATACCATCTGAATACCCAATAGTCTCCGACCTGGTTACTGCACGCGAACGACAATGGAAATTTTAGAAGTTGACTAAACTCTATCATTTTTCTTTCACGTGTCTCCACACCCTGATGAGAGCCATTCCCCCCAACTATTAAGGGTTTAATCCTAAAATTAAAACCTAATTAATCCTAAATCAATCATCTTAATTTTTATGCGTATTAAAGAGCCATTCAACCACTTTGAATTCTCCTTCTCTCCCTCTCTCTTCCTCCTTAGGGTGTGTTTGGTTATAGTAGGTGAATGGTAATGAGAATGAAAATGAGAATGGTAATGAGAATAGAATGAAAAAGAAAGTTGATTCATTTGTTGGTTGTAATTTTAAGAATTCTCTCGAATGAAACATGAATATTTTCATGTTGACAAACTTACCCTTATGCTATATATAACACTAATATTTTATCTATCAATATAATATATAAAATGTAATATAATATAATATAATTATTATAATATAATTATGATATATAATATAACAATATTATTAAAATTGTTAATATAATTATAATATTATAATATATAAAATGTAATATAATATAATAAAATTATTATTATATAATTATGATATATAATATAACAATATTATTAAAATTGTTAATATAATTATAATATTATAATATATAAAATGTAATATAATATAATAAAATTATTATTATATAATTATGATATATAATATAACAATATTATTAAAATTGTTAATATAATTATAATATTATAATATATAAAATGTAATATAATATAATAAAATTATTATTATATAATTATGATATATAATATAACAATATTATTAAAATTGTTAATATAATTATAATATTATAATATATAAAATGTAATATAATATAATAAAATTATTATTATATAATTATGATATATAATATAACAATATTATTAAAATTGTTAATATAATTATAATATTATAATATATAAAATGTAATATAATATAATAAAATTATTATTATATAATTATGATATATAATATAACAATATTATTAAAATTGTTAATATAATTATAATATTATAATATATAAAATGTAATATAATATAATAAAATTATTATTATATAATTATGATATATAATATAACAATATTATTAAAATTGTTAATATAATTATAATATTATAATATATAAAATGTAATATAATATTATATTATATTATATTATAAAAAATCTACTATATAATATATTTTAATTATATTATAATATTGAAGGGTAATTATGGAAAAAAAAATAAAAAAAGAACTTGAAATGGTCATTCCTCCCATATGAGAAAGGAATGATAATTCACCCAAAATGGGTGAATGGCCATTCCTTTTGAATGATCATTCCTTTCTTTTAAATCCAACCAAATATCAAACTAGAATTCTATTCCATTCCTTTTCACCCAACCAAACACACCCTTATTTCTCATGTTCAAGAACATTAGAGAAATCCTCCAACACCAGCTACCAAACCTCATCTCTTTATTATTTTTGGATTCTTCATTCATTAAAGACAAAATAAAGATTGTTGAGGTATGATTCTTTCTTGTTGTTTAGTTTGAATTTCTTTGAGGGTTTGGGTGATTGTTTTGATGATTTTTTTTATGGTTCTCTTTTTTTTCTTGAGAGGAATATTCATGAGATAGTGAATTGAGTATTAATATGCAATCGATATATATGATTTCTAAGATTTAAGACTATAGGTTTTTATTTGACTCTATGATTATATTCAAGCATGTTATTTGTTTGTTTTGGGTTTCTTAGAATCTGAGAAAGCATAATATAGGGATTTGTGGTTTTAATAATTGATAAAAATATTTTGTTTAGAGTTTCTTGTATGATTTAGAAACATTTTAGGATTTATTTATGATTATTTACATTATTGGGTCATATGATTATGTTAATCATTATTTATAGAAATGCAATTTTAGATGTGTTGAGTTGTGTATATATGCATATATTTATGATTTTAAATGTTAGATATATGTCATAGTGCTGCATATTAGATGGAGTGTGGTTTATGCATGTTGAGGATGATGTGGTTGCTTTTTTTTTTTTTATTAAATTCGGATTTAGGAGATGTTGGAAATTTCCAAAAAATTTGGCTTCACTTTAGAATAGTGTTTGAGGGAACGAACAGACTCCTTTTTAACAAATAAGGGGTTATAGGAAAGCTCTAGATGTCTACTGTAATTTGAAATTAGTTTCAGGCTATTTAGAGTTATGTGTTAATTGTTATGAGTTTTTAAAGGGGTAAAGGGCAGGCTGTCAATTTTTGTTAAATTTTGTAGTTTTGTATAATTGATGGGTTTTTATGTCTTGACGTTAATGAATGATGAGAATGGTCTATTAGACGTTTTAATGTGATTAATGTGTTTGATGAGTTGTTAAGGCTTTTTTTTAGTAATTTTATTTATGATTTATGGCATGAACGATTCAGAAGGTGAGCACCCGAGGACCTCATTCGTCGCGTCACTGTTGGAAAATTTAAAAAGGTTAAGTAAGACATTTATGTAAGTACACTCTCACCTGCAACATGATTTAAATAATTTGAGAAGTATATGATTTTGATGTTTATGATAATGTTATGACGCTTTTAATAATTCTCGCATGATGATGTTTGGAAGAAAAATGTATATATGTATTTTTATATTTTTAAATGGCGTTGTACACCCCTGATGGTGACCGGTGAGAGGTCATTTATCCGGTGAGCGGATTTATTATCACGGTTGGTATGGAATTTGCTACCCCACGCTTTATGTGGCTAGCACGCTATGATGGTACAACGTCGGGACCAATATATGATGGATTTTAAAGTTAAAACATATTAAAAAATAATTGTTCTTATGATGACGTTTATTATTGGTGAATAAAAATGTTCATTTACGTTTGTGACATTTAGGGCCCGTTTGTTTGCGTTTTCATTTTCGTTTTTCACGGTTTTCAAAGCAAAAAAATGAAAACGGGTGTTAAAAACGTGTTTGGTGCAATTTTTTTTAAAAAACAAAACCAAAAACGTTTTTGTCTTTTTGTGGAAATCAGAAAACGAAAAAAAGGTGTTTTCATTTTCTTGTTTTCGTTTTCTGTTTTCTGAAAAACGGATTTCACTTTTTTTTTTCTTTTTCATTTTCTTCCCTCTTTTCTGAAACATATTATTTATTTAATATATTTAATATATTATTTATTTAATATATTTAATAATGTTATTTATTTAATATATTATTACATGTTTTCAAAAATTAAACCACCAAACGCAGTTTCAGTTTTTTTTAAAACTGAAATCAATCTCTAAATAAAACTACCAAACGCATTTTTAGAAATAATTCAAAAATGAAACTAAAAACGTTTTCATTTTCATTTTCGTACAGAAAATAAAAACGTTTTGGAATCAATTCTAAACGCACCCTTAAGTGTCTTACTAAGCCCTTGCTTATATAAGTTATTTCATGTTGCAGACGAACTAAAGGGTAAGATGTAGCCATGGAGAATCTTGGAGCGGATGCGAGCTATGTGTGATAGGAAAATGAGAGAAACGATCACGGAATGAAAATGCTTAATTTTAAATAAAGTTTTTAATTTTAATTTTATTATTTTTGAATCTTTTGTTTATAGTGGTTTTGATTTGAAGAATACTTTAGAGTTTTTTTTTAGTTTATTTCACGGTATGAATTTTAATAATTAAGTTGAACCCTATGTTTGGTAGGATAGATAGAAAAGAGGAATGAAAGAAAAGTGAAATACATAGGTGAAG